GGAGGAGGAGGAGGAGGAGGAGGAGGAGGACGCGGACGCGTTTCAGTTATCCCATGGGCCGCGCAGAGCCCTGGTTGGCCCAATTGGGGCAATCTGGAAAAACTTGGGATGGGGGCCACAGTCAAAAGAGCCCGAGGGCGGGAAAACAGGGTAGGTAGAAGTGGGGATGAGGTTGGAGGTCAGGGTTTCCCTGGGCCTGGAATCTCCTGCGAGACCATCCCACTCTCTTTATTGGCCAGGTGGCACTTTGGCCCTCAGTTTCCCCATCAGTGTTTCAGGGCTGGTCTTGGTGGGAGAGGGAAACTGAGGCAAGAAGGTCAGAAGGACTGCTGGGTCCTGGTTGGCCAGGTTGGCTGGAGTCCTGCTGCATCCTCTCAGGCCTGGACCGAGGAGTGATGGATCACGAGTTGGCTTCTTGGAGTAATGGATTATGATGGATTACTTGGGAGAGCAGCTGTTCTGTCAGATGGGCTCAGCTCTCTGGAGGTGGAAACGCCCTGCCTTACCTGTTACACAGCCCGTCTCTGCATTGTCCCCCATCATTACTTACATCCTCCCTGCCCTCTCACCCCACCTTTGCCATTCACACCTGATCTTTCAGGAGGAGTTCCTTGAATGGAAGCAGGAGGGAGGATGTCTCAAAAAGAAGTACTGGGCAGTTGAGGCCCAGGATGCAGTACATCTCATGCTCTGCTTCTTTATTTACTGAGTGACCTTGGGCAAGGCATCTAACCTCCCGGAGCCTCTGTTTTATTCTCAAGGGTATGGGGTAAGAAAAGGTTATTATGAGGATAAAATGGGATAATGCGTGTGAAGTGCGCAGTCCAGTGCCTGACATAAGGCAGGTGCTCAAGAGCAGAGTAGTTGATTATTATCAGTTGGTAGCTCCAAGAGCCAACTGTTGTTTTGGGGAAGGGTGCCCCTGGAGCAGGCAGGTCTGCAAGGGAATCTACTTCTTCCGGAGTGACCTTGCTCAAGCAGGGTACATGGCCTTGCTGGGGGCATCTCCCCATCTGTGTGTGAACTCCGGGGGTGGGGGTGGGGGAGGGGGAGTGCCCTCGTAGCAGAGGTGCCAACGGCCCGGCTCGCAATGGGCACAGGTGGACGGTCCTGCCCCTCCAGGTGCCTTCTGCTTTTCTGACTCTCCCAGCCTTGCCTTCTTCAGGTGGGGGCAGTGGGTTTCTGCTCCTCCCTCCGTCTCCTTCCTTGTTCTCTTCGTCCAGAGCAGAGCTTTTCCACCCTTAACTCCAGAACCTTTGTTTCCTCCCTCCTCCCGGTCTACTCCCTTTCTCTCCTGCTTTCTGCACCTGCTTCTCTTAATAACAATGGATGTTTGTACAGTGCTTCAGGCTTTAGAAAGCACTTCAGTGCATTGTCTGATTTTATTCTTTTGATTCCATCACCGCATAAAGCAGGCTGAAAGATCTCCTTGTTTTACAAATAAGCAAACTGAGGCATCCAGAGGTTGGATGACTTTGCCAAGGTCTCACAGTGTAACTCGTCACCCATCTTTGTCCCTGGACCTTTGTGCTTCCTTCTAAATATCCGATCTTGCTGACGTTCCTTAATCCTTACCTGCCCCTCCGTCTTTGCTTTCCATCTCTTAGGGCAGCAGATTCCTTCAACTAGGATAAGGGGATGAACATACTGGCAATGAAGGGTCTGAGTCTGGGTGAACAGGGGCTGAAAGAGGTCCCGAGGTGTGACAGAAGAGGGTTCCCTATTGCACAGCAGCCTGCTGGGGGGTGACAGAGGGATGCCAAAGATGACTTCTGGGGGGGTGTAGCCTGCCTGGTAATTCTTGAAAATACTGGAAGCTCAGAATCCACCAGGCTGCGGCAGTCCTGCTCTGCCCAGCCAAGGACGACAACTGAGAGGGTAGAGGTGGCCCGGCAGGGCAGTGGCCAGGCAGACAGAAGGAGCTTTTTGGAGGATTTTCCTCTGTAGGAAATGGGACCCACCGGTGGTGTGATCTCCACCCAGCTGGCAAGTCTTTCCCCTAAAACCACAGCTCTTACTACCGCCCTGCCTTTTCCTCTGCTGGGAAGGGCGATGTGAGCCCCAGAGCACACAGCAGAGCTCTGTCCTCTGGATTTTACAGCCAGATCAACTTGGAGGTCATTTCATCCACCCCCTTACCTCTAGGATTCATTAAACAAATGTTTATTGAACTCTTTCCATGTGACGCTGTTTTTTTTTTTTTTTTGTAAGAAACACATTTATTTTAAGACACTGTTTTTTTAAAATGTTTATTTATTTATTTTGGTGGGGGGGAGAGAGAGACAGACCAACTATGAGTGGGGGAGGGGCAGAGAGAGAGGGAGAGAGAGAGAGACAATCCCAAGCAGGCTTGACACACAGCATGGAGCCTGATGTGGGGCTCAATCTCGTGACTGTGAGATCATGACCTGAGCTGACATCAAGAGATGGTTTTGAAGTGAATAAGATAGATAAGGTGTTTGCCCTTACGGGACTGACACTTTTCTGGGGGAGGCAGGCAGTAAATAGGTAAACATGTTATGAAGGAAATGAGCTAAAGCAGTGGGTTAGAGAGTGGTTATGTTAGTGTGGCCCCGGAAAATTCAGAGGAAGTATTGCATGAGGTGAGACCCAAATGATGTTACATGATGATCTGGAAGATTGAACGAGCAAGTGCAAAGGCCCTGAGGTGAGATGAGCTTATTATGTTTGAAAGGAGGCCATGTCTTGCTGGAGAATAGTAGCCCTGGAGTGTTCTGAGCACATGCCACATGCTCTGATCTCTATTCTGAGAAGACTCCTCTGGCCTTGAACAGGCACAAGAGTAGGGTAGGGAGAGGGGTCAACAGGCTGCTGATGTTGGCCAGGTGAAGGGGGCTGGTGGTTTAGGCCGTGGTGCTTGCAGGAAAAGCAGTGAGAAGGGGCCAGGTCTGGGATACATTCTGGGGTAGAGCCCAGAGCTTGGCTGATGGATGAGATGTTGGGTATGTGAGAGAGAATGGGCTCAAGGATGACTCCCAGGTTTTTGGCCAGAGTAACTGGCCACGTGGTTCCATTTACTGAGATAGATGGAGTGTGTAAGAAATTTCTAGGTAGGAAGGTGCCAGGATTTCTGCTTTGCCTGATTTCTTATTTCACAGTTCTTCTCGCACATGCTGGGGATTTCTTGTTGATGTGTGTCCTCTCCTGTCCTCTCAAATTCAGCCCATGCTGGCTACCCCTCTGGTGAGTGGATCATTCTGGACCCCTTAACATGCCACCTTCCAGACTGTTCCTGCAGCATGAACCCATGGCTCTGAGCTGAGAGGGGCTATATTATTTATATGAAGCAATATGATATAACAAACAAACCCCAAATCTAGTAGCTTAAAGCAGCAACAAACATTTATTATCTCATACAGCTTCCATGGGTCAGAAAGTTTGGAGTGGCTTGGCTGGCTGATTCTGGCCTGGAGTCTCTCATGGGGTGGCAGTCAAGATGTCAGCTAGGGCTGCAGTTATCTGAAAGTCCGACTGAGGCTAGAGGAGCTGCTTCCAAGGTGGTTCATTCATGTGGCTGGCAATTTGGGGCTGGCTGTCGGCAGGAGGCCTCAATTTCTCACCACATGGCACTCTCCCTAGGCTGCTTGAGTGTCCTTACAACATGGCAGCTGGCTTCCACAAAGTGGGTAATTCAAGGCAGAGCAAGGTGGAAGTCACAATGTCTTTTATATCCTAGCCTTGGAAGGCAAATACTGTTATTTGTACAATATCCTATTGGTTGCATAGGTCATCTTCATTGTGGGGGGGGGGGCGATATAAAGACACGAATACTTGGAGGCAAGAATCAGTGGGGGCCACCTTGGAGGCTGACCGTACAGATGCCCAGAGAGAAGGCACGGTGGATCTGGCTCCTGGGGGGCTGTGAGAGCATTGGGAAGGGCAGAGATGTAGGAGTCAGACATACCTGGGTTTCAACTCTACCCCTGCTGCCTTCCAGCTATGTGGGCTCTGTCGTAGAGGAATAAATGGATACCAGCACCTAGTAGACAGCTTTCTCCTTTCTTGAACCACAGACGGAGAAGGGTTATCTATTCCAGATATTCTTTGCCAGCTCTTTACCACTTGGACCTGCTTGAGAGAAAATGCTTAGTGCTGGTAGAGTAGGGGCCTCAAAGTATATGTTAAATACCTGTTTACTGCACAAAGGAGGGCTGAGAGTTAGGTTGCACCCTCAAGTTTCTAGAATAGTGCCTGACCCCACTATTTTAGAGGTAGGGGTTCCAATGAAGGAGTAAAGGAATAGAATCAAGGAATGTTGAGGGACAAGAAGTTCCCATTTAGAGAGAGGCTATGGAGGGGGGTGGTGAGGGGAGGGTGTGAGAGCAGGAAAGAAGGAGTAGCAAAATGGGTTCATAATTTCCCTCCAAAAGCCCTCTTACCTTCCAACAGAGACTGACTCCACATAGTAATTTTAGTCATTTACATTTTCTAGCTGAGGTATAAGTTATGTACCATCAAGTATACATTGATAAGTCTATACCTATATATGAACCAGATCAAGATCCAGAACATTTCCAGCACCCAGAAGTGCCCTTATGCGCTCCTCCAAGTCAGTATCCCCCAAAGGTAATTTCTAGTCTTACTTGTACCGTCCCAGATTACTTGCCTCTGTTTGAACTGCACACGAATTGACTCCTACAGTATGTTGACTCTTGCTCCTGACTTATTTCACTCACCATTAGGTCTGGGAGGCTCATCTGTGTGCGTGCACACTGTAGGGGTTCATTCTTTTTGATTGCTGTGTTGTATTCCAGCATATGAATAAACCACAACCTGTTTATCCATGCCACTGTTGATTGCCAGTTGGGTGATTTCCAGTTTGGGGCTATTATGAACAGACGTGCTATGAACGTTGAATCATCTGGATTTACACAGATCTTTGCAACACACAAAACGTTTCCACTCATCTTCTCGGTTCTGTGATGTGGGCTGGACTCATGGTAGTCCTATTTTATAGATCCAAAATTGAGGCCTGGGGAGGGTAACCAACTTGGCTAAGGGCCAGTGGTCTTCTGCATGATTCTGGCCCTGCCCTTGGACCCATGGGTGGGAAGCAGGTGAGAAGGGAAGAGAATGAGAGAGAGAGAGAGAGAGAGAGAGAGAGAGAGAGAGAGAGAAAGAGAGACAGAGAGCAGGCTGGCTTGGGCACTGGAGACACCCCATAGTGCATGCAAACACCACCCTCCAGCCCCCGGCTCTGAATCTCTTGAAAGAAGTGGTCCTAAGCCTCCCTTAGTCCCTACCCCTGTGTCTCATGGGGCCCTTGTTTGTCCCCAGTTTTTTCTTTCCTGTTAGGGATTAAAATGGATGGCCCAGGATTTGTCTCCCACTTTTATTTCAGTACACGCACAGTGTATATATACACGGCAGATTTTCTTCTGCTTTGTGTTCCTTCTTGCTCCCCAGCTGTATGATGCCACAACCTCCAGGTACATTTTATGTAGCTAGCTATGTATCATCTGTTTATCTATTATGTTATTTATTTAAACAATTTTTAATGTTTATTTATTTTTGAGAGAGAGAGAGAGAGAGAGAGGGAGAGAGAGAGAGAGAGAGAGAGAGAGAAGGAGCACCAGCACGAGCAGGGGAGGGGCAGAGAGAGAGGGAGACAGAAGATCCGAAGCAGGCTCTGCGCTGACAGCAGAAAGCCTGATGTGGGCTCGTACTCACGAACCATTGAGATCACTACCTGAGCTGAAGTCAGACACTCAACTGACTGAGCCACCCAGGCGCCCCATTTATCTATCACTTTAAAGGCAACTTGTAATTTTAGAGTTGTTTTAGATTTACGGAATAGTTGCCATGATCATACAGAGTACCTGCAGAGCCCACACGGTTTCCCTAATCCCCAGATACATTTTTGAGAAATGCTTTTCTCACTCCTGATTTGCTCCTTGTTTTGAAATAGCCGTCCCCGCTGAAGAGAGCGGCTCCTTCCAGCAAAGTGCTGCTCACCCGTTCCCAGGTCAGAGAAGAGTTAAATGAAAGGACCAGGCAGCCGGGCAGGCAAACTGCCCACTCCTCAGGCTCCGGGCAGCTCCCACTCACCTCCTGCTTCTTTATCTCTCTCCTTCCCTCTTCCCAGACCCTGGCTCTTCCCTGTCCCGAGCACCAGCAATGACTTGGTCTCCTCCCCTGTCCCAAAGGGGTTTAAATCCCGTCCTTTAAGCTTGAAAGGAAAGGAAATCCCATAATTAACCCCCACCTTTCAGTCATATTATACACCACCTTTACCACTCTCTCATAAACACACCTGCGGCTTTCCTTCACAATTGTGTTGGAGGCTTGGAGAATTCTCCTGCTGTCCCGGGTATAGTTGGACTGAGGGTTGTGGGGGGTGGGTGTGTTTCATGCCTTGGGACCCATTGAGTCTTCTCTGGCCCTGGAGGCGGAATATTGAGTTTAAATCCTGACTGCATGGATAATTGGTTGCATGACCTTGGGCAAGTTGCTTTACCTCTCTGAGCTCCATTTGCTCATCTGTACCATGGGGATTATAGTAGGGCCTATCCTGTAGGACTCTTGTGAGCACTGAGAGTGATGACCCAACTGTAATGCCAAGCTCAAAATCAAGTGGTCAAAAAGTTGCTAATATTTATTATTATGTTTAATGTTTTATTTATTTTTGAGAGGGAGAGAGAGAGACAGACAGACAGAATGTAAGCTGGGGAGGGGCACAGAGAGAGGAAGACACAGAATCCAAAGCAGGCTCCAGACTCTGAGCCGTCAGCACAGAGCCTGATGTAGGGCTCGAACTCACGAACCATGAGATCATGACCTGAGCTGAAGTCACGTGCTTAACCGACTGAACCACGCAGGTGCCCCAATATTTATTATTTTACATTCCTTCCGCTTTCTCCTAACTCATGAAAGGTGGGGAGAATCTGGAAGACCAACATAGCTGACTCGAGACTAGATGCTTGCCTATGTTTTCTTCTCTTCTTTCCATTATCAAGGAGGCATCAGGAAATGGTGCAGGTGAACATAATGTGTCTTTTGCTTGTTTGCTTGCCCCAAGGCACCTGAGATTATAGCACTGGCTTTCAAGACCTTGTCGGTGCATTAGAATCTCCTAGGGGCAATAATGATGCCTGGGTCCTTCTCCCCAGAGAGTCTGATTTAATTGGTTTGCTGCATGACCCAGGCATTGGGATTTTCACAAGTGGCAACTAGCAGTGGGAGTGTAAAATGGTACAACCATTTTGGAAAACAGACCGTTCCTTATTAAGTTACATACACTGTTGCTCCCTGACACAGCAATTCCACTCCAAGGTATTTACCCAAGAGAAATGGAAACATGTCCACAAAAATGCGTGCATATCCATAGCAACTTTATTCACAGTAGCCCCTACCTGGGAAAACCCCAATATTCAATAACAGGTGAATGCAGAAATTGTGATATAATGGCCCAGTGGAATACTACTTAGCAACGAAAAGGAGTGAACCGTTGTTCTGCATAGCACTGGAGGTGAATGTCAAAAACACTGTTGAGTGAAAGAAGCCAGACACAAAAGTACACACTGGCTGATTCCATTTTTATGAAATTCTGGAAAGTATGAAACTGTTGTGGCAAAAAGCAGATTAGTAGTTTTCTGGCCCTGGGGGTGGTAGGAAGACTGACTGCAAAAGGGTGTGAGGGAACTTTTTTTGGGTGATAGAAATGTTCTTTATCTTTGTTGTGGTGGTAGTTATGCACATGTATCCATCTGTCAAACTCATTGGACTATATGCTTAAAAGGGATGTGTTTATTGTATGTAAATTCTGTCTCAATAAAGTTGATTTAAGTAAAAGCCTGCCAGGCGAGTCCTCTTTGCGACCAGATTTAAAAACCAGTGGTCTGCAGCTTCTGGAGACCTCTCTCCATCCTTTCCCTCTTGGTCACTCTCTCTCTCTCTCTTTGGTAACAAGTGTATTGAGGTATAATTCACATACCATACAATTCACCCATTTAAAGTGATAGTTAAGTTTTTTGTTTTTTGAATATTCAGTGTTCTGTGACCATCAACATCAGAACCTTTTTGTCCCCTTGAAAAGAAATCTGTACATTATAGCTGTCACTTCTCAGTCTCTCTATCCTTTCCCCCCACCCCTGCCCCAGCCCTTAGCAACCACTGATCTACTTTCTGTCTCTACATATTTCCCTGTTCTGGAGATTTCATATGAATGGAATAATAGAATGTATGGTGTTCATTTAATGATTGGCTTTTTTCGTTTCACATAATGTTTTCAAGGCACATCCTTTCTATGGCTGAATAACATTCCATTATGTGAGGTTATCCGTTCATCAGCTGATGGATATTTGGGTTGTTTCCACCTTTTGATTATTATGAATAATGCTGTCATGAATATTCACGTACAAGTCTTTTTGTGATCGTATGTTTTCATTTCTCATGGGTATACGGTTGGCCCTTGAACAGCACAGGTTTGAACTGCACGGGTCCACTTGTAGATTTTTATAGTACAGTACTGTAAATGTATTTTCTTCTCCTTATGATTTTTTAATCAACATTTTCTTTCCTCTAGCTTACTTTATTGTAAGACTACAGTATATAATACATATGCTATATAAAACGTGTGCTAATTTTGAGTAAAAAACGTGTTAGTTGACTATGTTATTGGTAAGGCTTCTAGTCAACAGTAGGCTATTAGTAGTTAAGTTCTTTTGGAATCAAAAGTTATATGGGGATTTTCATGCGCCGGCTGTTGGTGCCTCTAACCCCCTCGTTCAAAGGTCAACTGTATGTACCTAGGAGTGGAATTGCAGGGTCATATGGTAACCCTGTTTAACTTTTTGAGGAACTGCTAGGCTGTTTTTCAAAGTAGCTTATATTAGTTTTCGAGATCTGCTATGCCAAAGTACCAAAACCCGCGACCTAAAACAACAGAGATTTATTGTCTCACGGTTCTAGGGGCTGGAAGTCCAAAGTCAAGGTGTTGACGGGGCCATGTTCCTCTGAAAGCGGTAGAGGAAATCCTTTTCCTCTTCCCAGCTTCTGGTGGTTTGCTGGCAATCTCTGG